TGGCCGAAGGGTGTGGTGCGGGGGGGGTGGGCGGCCTCTGGGGTGGGGGGGGGTGGGGGGCGGTCCTTCCCTCCATGGTGGTAGTACCCCCTAGGGCCACCCAGGTGGGCTGCAGGGTGTTGCCCCAGCTTGGGGTCAGGGAAGAGTTGGATGGGGCCAGGTGCTATCTCTGAGCTGGGGCAGCACCCGGCTGGTTGGCAGCCTGCCCAGGTGGCCCCAGAGGGTGCCGCTACCACGGACAGAAAAAACAAAGCTCCCCGCAGCTCAGGAGCCACTCAGCCCGCTGGCAGCTCATCCCCCTGGTCGCAGGAGAGGCGGGCAGGATCTGCCAGAAAAAAAAAAAAGATTGGGGGCCTCTTGTCATAACAGTGACAGAAAAATAAAACCCCTAAATTGGAATGGTGGCTTTCAATTAAAAACCCACAATGTCAATTTAGGGGGCAAAGAATGCAACCCTAAGGATTAAATTCCCATCATGTGTACAAGCGCCCTTAATGGCAGCCCACATAGAATGACACGACCTCTCCATGGCAGCCCACAAAGAGTGACATGACCTTACATGACCTCCCCACCTTATTTGCACAATCAGTAATAAAGCCATCTCTTGTCCTAAGGTATTGCTTGAGCATGGCTATGTGAAGAGAGGGTCTGGTCATGAGTGCTGTTGGCTACCTACAACTTTGACCTGCAGCCATGTTCATATCCAGCACAAGTGAAAATCCTAAAAGAGAAAGCAGTCGCTTATATATAGAGGTGAAACAGAACCATTTTAAAGCAAAGTAAATCATGGGAATCAACAGCACATTGTGATCTACAGTCTGAGATCAGATAGGTTTTGATCTAAGAACACTTAATGATATATTCTCTGTTCCTCACCTTGAGACAGTCAATCAGTCAGCACAACATGCACTGCCTCCATGCCATATCCAGAGTTAAAACCCATAAAGAACCATAAGACTGGATAAAGTAAATTGGCCAGCCTCCATCTCTGTCAATAACCTTTTCCAGACCAGGTTTAGAGTCAGGACAAGTAATTGTGGAGATCATTAATATTGAGCAACAGCTTCTTGAGAAAAGACCAGGTCACAGTATGTTTAATAGCTGCTGGCAGCTAGTGCTCCCTGAGGGAGGTATTAATGATTACATACTAGATTGATGTCAGTATAACTACAGCTGGCTGAAGGCTGGAGTCACACACACACACATACACACCCTATTTCCCATGTTATTGTTACGGACCAACTGCAATTTCCACCTTAATCCCTTTTCCAGTGGTATTAAAGTGGAATTAAAGGGAACTGCAATGAAATTTGTTCAAGGCATAAATATGGGATACATTATCTGAGTCCAAAGGTAAATTATACACATGAAAAACTCCAGAAATAAAATATTAAATGCACAGAAATATTCACAAATAGGGCAAAGTTGTTTTGGAAACATTTAAGTTGATATATTATTAGAAAATATTGATTTTAAAAAGATATTTTTGAAAAGTAGGTAGTTCCTACAGGGTCAACAGTGCGTTATGCACTTTATAGGTAAATCTAAATATATGGGGTAAAAATCTGGTTTCCATTGAAGCAAATGCTGAAGGTACTTCTAAATTCACATGTAAAAATGTTCCTTGGTTTTGACAAAGGGCCAAGAATCAGATCTCCTGAGGCATGTCTATACCACAATGGATTTGAGCACCTTATCGCTGGGCATAGTAGGTTTGTGGTACAGCCATACCCTTTGAGTTCCAGCCCTGGCTGACTACTTCTGCTGCCATGGGTTAGTCATTTAACTTCTCTTCCAACAAAGTTTCCTTATCTTACAATGAGGGGACTACTTACTTTTTCACAAAGTGCAGCTATGAGAATTAGTGAAAGCATCTGTGTAGTGCTTTGAAAATGCATCATTCTTCTTGCATAAATTATCACTTACGGTGCCTTTCATCTCTGTGTAAAACCTCTTTCTCTTTAAAATATAACTTTAGTGAGCATTCCTCCTTGATCCGGTCCTCTTTGTAGGGGTGATTTCATCTTGAAAACATGAAAAACAATCACCATTAAACACAAATCTATGCATTTTCAGAAAACTGATCATAAATTGCCATATGTATCTTAATATGCATAGTACATGGACTAATGGCCCTATGCTCCCTCAACAAACACAGCTGACAACCCATAAACTTTGTCCTTATTCCATTAAATACTCAGTTATACACCATGTATCCAAAAGGATTACTGGAATGTAAAACTCTCATATGATTACTCCATAAATAACCTGTGTAAACCTTGCAGGCCACACTTAACTCTGATGTAAGCAGACAGCTTCAAAGAGTTTTACCATTTTGCAGTTCTACATTTTGCCTTGTATCTCTGCATTTTTAGTGATATGTGTGTTATGTGTACATATGAAATACAAGGGTCTTTACTACTGTAGAAAAAATTCTAAACCTCCCACTGAATTCTTCAGAAGTCTGGAATATATCTTATGGGAAGTTCAAGTAAGCTCATAGTAAGCTGTTAACATAATGTCCTTAATATTTTGTAATGATTTCTGACCTGGTTGAGAGAGGCCCAAGCTTTCATAGACAACAACTTCATTTGTCACCTGGCAAAGTGGGCTGTTGCCTACAAAAGCTTATGCCTCTAAGGTGCCACCCTGCCCTATCTACAGAATAAAGTCTTACTTTTGTATATTGGGGTGGCTGGGTGAGGGGCATAGTTAGGGGGGTGGGTGTGAGGTGGGGGGGG